TCTTGGGAGGCTGAGGCAGGAGAATTGCTTGAACCTGGGAGGCGGACATTGTCGTAGCCAAGATCGCGCCACTGCACTCCAGCCTGGGCAACAAGAGTGAAACTCCGTCTCAAAAAAAAAAAAAAAAAAGCACGTGACCTTATATGAGGCTCTCGCTGTATTGCTATTTTGGTTATTTTAAGGACAATGAAGAGTTTGATTTGAAATTATGCAGGGTCCCTATGTGGTTTTTTATTAAAAAAAGCAAGCTGGCGTGTATTCTCATGTGGTTTGCACGGCCCAGCCTCAGCTCCGTTATAAACCCTGCTCTTTCTGACTGTCTTTTGTGAGACAGGTTTTGTTTGTTTGTTTTTACAGCTGAAACCAACCAGCAAGCCCTTGATGACCAAGAGGCGTTTCTTTCAAAGCTATAGGGCACAAACAATTGACCATAGATGACTAAGTTTGCATTCTTCTGCAGAATTATTTCCTTCAGGGACAGATTTTCCAACCTAAGAAACTACCTACTGTATGTATTCTCTTGGCGGGAGAGATGAACCCTTCAGCTGCTAAGACCCAAGAAAGCGCCTCACTGCCTTAACCTTAACTGTTCTTCCTGGCGCTAAAAAGAGCTGTATTTTTTAAAGTGCTGGGGCAAACAAAGCAACCCCAAAAGAATTGATGTGTGTTTTAAAAAAAACCCAATGAGGAACAATTGGTGATTTTTATGCAGAAACTAAATAATCCTTAATAAATAAATCTATTTTGGAATCACATCTGTGTACTGTATTGGGTCTTGATTTTTTTTTCTTTTCTGCTTTAGAAATTACAACTGGGGACCCTTACAGATCCTACCAAGAGTCCGGGCGCGGTGGCTCCTGCCTGTAATCCCAGCACTTTGGGAGGTCAAGGTGGTTGGATCATCACTTGAGGTCAGGAGTTCAAGACCAACCTGGCCAACATGGTGAAACCCCATCTCTATTAAAAATACAAAAAAAAAAATTAGCTGGGCACAATAGTCGGCACCTGTGATCCCAGCTGCTCTGGAGGCTGAGGCAGAAGAATTGCTTGAACCTGGGAGGCAGAGTTTGCAGTGAGCTGAGATTGGGACACTGTACTCCAGCCTGGGCAACGGAGCAAGACTCTGTCTAAAAAAAAAAAAAACACCGAAAAACCAAGAACCTGTTTTCTGGCCTCCATGGTTTTAAAATTTTATTTATTTATTTTATTATTTGTAAATGTTTTTGTAGAGATTGGGGTCTTGCTTTGTTGCCCAGGCTGGTCTCAATCTCCTAGCCTCAAGCAATCCTCTTGCCTCAGCCTCCCAAAGGGTTGGGATTATAGGTGTGAGCCACTGCACCAGGCCTGGCCTCCATGGTTTTAAAAAACAGAACTGGCTGCTGCATTGAGAAATGGGAATTTCACATAAGAATCTTGGGTTTCAGCAGGGCGAGGTGACTCACACCTGTTCTGCCAGAACTTTGGGAGGCCAAGGCAGGTGGATCACTTGAAGTCAGGAGTTCAAGACCAGCCTAGCCAACATGGTGAAACCCAGTCTCTACTAAAAATACAAAAACTACCCAGGTGTGGTGGTGGGTGCCTGTAATCCCAGCTACTTGGGAGGCTAAGGCAGGAGAATTGCTGGAACCTGCGAGAGGGAGATTGCAGTGAGCTGAGATCGCACCACTGCACTCCACCAGCCTGGGTGATAGAGTGAGACTCTGTCTCAAGATATATATATATATATATAATATCTTGGGTTTCTGTAGCCATAAAAAAGAATGGATGAAGCTGGAAGCCATCATTCTCAGCAAACTAACAGGAACAGAAAACCAAACATTACATGTTCTCACTCATAAGTCGGAGTTGAACAATGAAAACACTTGGACACGGGGAGGGGAACAGCACACACCGGGGCCTATTGGGGAATGGGGGGGTAAGGGGAGGGAGAGCATTAGGACAAATACCTAATGCATGCAGGGCTTAAAACCTAGATGACGGGTTGACAGGTACAGCAAACCACCATGACACATGGATACCCATGTAACTCAAAAAAAAAAAGACAAAAAAACCCCATGAATCTTGGGTTTCTAGCTTTTGAAAAACCAGGCTGCCAGGCAGGAGTTGAGAGATGACTGCCCCCTGGGCTGGGCAGGGCAAAGGAAGGAGGAATCAATTCTACATTTTGCCTTAGCTTCCACCCATCCCTGTTGCCTCCCCACCCCTCCACCAGTTTGCACTTTTTCATGGACTGTTTTTTTCTGATTCTAGGGTGAAATGTAGAGGGAAATATTTATTTTATTTTGTTCCTGCTCCTGTCAAGCTTATAATCTAGTGGGCAAGATGGACCCATAAATCAATAATGATGAAATAGAGTGGTCAGTTCCCAGAGGGAACCTGGAGCCTCAGAGGAGGGGCAGCAGCCTGGGCTGTATCTTAGGGAACTGGGGCATGTACTGAGACTCTGTGGAAGTTTGGGGGTGGGGGAGCCTAGCAGAAGAGGAGGGGCAGGGGACAACTTCAAGGCACAGGCAAAGACCTGGTGGATTGACCCCAAGTAGGCTGTGTATGTGTGTGTCACATTGCACTATTAAGGGATTTGACTTGACCCTGAAAATTATGGTACACCTTCAAGGCTCTTGTGTACAATAGAATATACCCAGGTATATGCAGATATCCAGTTTGGAAAGCTCCCTCTGACATTGTCAAGAGATGGAAGCCTGAAATAAGGTTTTTTGTGTCTGTGATTGTATTATATTTTCTAATAGTCCTTAGATTAGGGATGCTACTGTTCATTCTAAGCTCTAATTCCTTTTTAGGTTTTTTCCCCTTTAGGTTTCCTAGAAATACAGAATTCCGTCTCTCCTTTTTAAAGTGATTTTTTTTTTGAGACAGAGTCTAGCTCTGTCACCCAGGCTGGAGTACAACGGTGTGGTCTCGGCTCACTGCAGCCTCCACCTCCTGGGTTAAAGTGATTCTCTTGCCTCGGCCACCCAAGTAGCTGGGATTATAGGCACACATCACCACATCCAGCTAATTTTTATTGTTGTGGTTGTTTTTGGAGACAGAGTCTTGCCTCCCAGCCTGGAGTGCAGTGGCATGATCTCAGCTCACTGCAACCTCTGCCTCTCAAGTTCCAGCAGTTCTCCTGCCTTAACCTCCGAGTAGCTGGAATTACAGGCGCACGCCACCATGCCCAGCTAATATTTTTGTATTTTTAGTAGAGACGGCGTTTCACCCTGTTAGCCAGGCTGGTCTCAAACTCCTGACTGCAAGTGATCCGTCCGCCTCGGCCTCCCAAAGTGTGGGGATTACAGGCGTGAGCCGCTGTTCCTGGCCTTAAAATGATCTTTTCTTCATGTCTCTAACATAATATGGTGAGAACTGGGAGGGCGATTTTTTTGTAGATAGCAGGGATTTTTCCACACCAGCCCCCGTTTTTGATACCTGTGGGGACCCTTGGGAGCATTTTGGGCTTTTGACTCCAGAGCCAAAAGCTAGCAGGGCATCTATGCCCTTCTCATTTCATCCCTGTCAAAGTGGGACTGAGTTCCTCGTGGGCAGGGAGGAAAGAACACACATTGACCACTATATAACAGGCAGCCCCTGCAAATGTGCTCTATACAAATCATTTCACAACCACTTGAGACGTGGACCTCAGTAGCCCTGTTTATCAGAAAAGGAAATTGAACCCCCGAGGGTGTGGCAAAGAGACTTGCCCAGGGTTACCCAGCCAGGTGTGGGGCCACAGGAGTTTCATGTCCATCTTCAAATCTCCCCTCGGCCGTGTTCACTTGTGTGCCAGCTGACAGGGGGCCCAGCTTCAGCACACCTCCTGCCGGGATGTGTCCCGCTGATGGGGTGCTGCCTTATCTGACCAGGTTAATCCCATACTGTACAGAAACCCAAATTAGCGCAAATGTTTGAAGAGGGTTGACATTCACTTGTTGATTCATTCAATTAAAACTCACTGAGCCCATTACAATGCAACATTTCAAACCCATTGTAATACATCATTGTTATAGATAAGGAACTGAAATTCACTCTGTAACAATTACGCAGCAGAAGAACTTTTTTTTTTTTTTTTTGAAAGACAGGGTCTTGCTTTGTCACCCACAATGGAAGGCAGCTGTGCAATTATAGCTCACCACAATCTCAAACTCCTGGGCTCAAGGGATCCTTCTGCCTCAGCCTCCCTAGTAGCTGGTACTACAGGCATGCACCACCACGCCTGGCTAATTTTTTTTTTTTTAAATGGAGTCTTGCTCTGTGGGCCAGGCTGGAGTGCAGTGGTGCAACCTCAGCTCACTGCAGCCTCCACCTCCTGGGTTCAAATGATTCTGCCCCAGCCTCCCGAGTAGCTGGGATTACAGGTGCCCACCACCATGCCCAGCTAATTTTTGTATTTTTAATAAAGATGGGGTTTCACCATGTTGGCCAGGCTGGTCTCAAACTCCTGACCTCAGGTGATCTGCCCACCTTGGCCTCCCAAAGTGCTGGAATTACAGGTGTGAGCCATAGCATCCAGCCC